CCAACACAACTCGACCTATCTCAATCCCATCATTTCAATGTGATACAGGATTTGTTAGAATCATTCACTTAAGGACATTCATTAAGATTTGTACAAGTATATTCTTCACTTCATCCCTTTGTTCCCCAATCAACTTTCCATGAACTACCACTGAAACCTAACTTTTACTGTGCCCTGAAGTCTGAAGAACAATCTCCCTCATGCTGTATATCGTGTAGTCATCTAAAACACCAGATATTTTCTATTGCTATGGCAGGTACCTATAACGTTCAATTTAATGACATCATAAATAATGAGGTGACAATTTTCTTTTGAATAAACAACCTGAAGAATCGCTTAGAGGAGCTAGAAGTACTAAGATAAGCTGCAGAGAATACCTTTTTACTATTTCTTCGTAACTGTCATTTTTAAAATGACATTATAATTATTTATATATATACTCAGGCCATCTCCATCCCTTGCCCACCCATGCATGTTGGAGACCCATTAGCTGGCCCGTACTACAAGCTTCATATTGATTTCAGGTGAGGACAGGTGTTCTCTTTACTGACACTAATTAGGTAATTAGGCTAAATTAACACAAGTGTATGTGCCAAATTATGATTTTTACCACCAATCTTTGATGACTAATTTCTGAATATATTCAGTGCAGTTCACTAAACCTAGAATATGCTACATTATACATGTAAAATATGATTCTTTGTTTTCCGCCGGAGAAAAATCATGTATAAGATGGGTGAAGCTTACAAAACAATGAAATAATTTCTTTATTTCAATACCTTTTTGACATGACATTAACCGATACACCGATGGTACACAGCCGGTACACCGATGGTACACAGCCGGTACACCGACGGTACTGATGCAGGTTCAACATTAACCCGGTGTCCAGCCTCACACAGAACTGTACATCAAATCATCCCTATTTGCTCATCACAATCTTGTAGGGCCATTTGATCCTATCAGGTTGAATTAATTAAATACTGCCCTACAAAACCAGTATATACCTGTGGACTGAGCCGCCCATTCTGCCCACTTTCCTGGATCTCTTTCATGTCCGCTGATGGAAATAATGGTCAGATACCAGGTCTTTAATCACCCTTGCTAACCTTAATTATCTACCCAAAGACGGTTCAGAACAACAGACAGCCTTAAAATGACAATGCATCTTTATCCCAACAAGCCCAGTACAGGCATGCAGTGCTGGTATGGTGTACAATGGAATTTACTTTTCCTACCTGGAAAAGATTTCTCATTAGGAATTTCTTATTGAAATTTTCATAATGACAATTCGGAAAAATCTGTTCATTATAATATTTCTCCAATCTCCCGCACACCAAAGGACGTGCAAAGAAAACCATACCATTTGTCATGATAATTGTTGAGGAGGAAATATTAAGGAGGAAGTTAACAATTTTTATTTTCATTTTTTAAAACAAATATGTATTATTCCAGAAAGCCTTTCATTCCACTGCACACATATGCCATTCACATCCACTGCCCTTTAGTAGCGAAGAAAACCGGTCTTTTCAATGATCTCATATCTAATATTTCTATAGAACATCTGCTTTTGAAAGGTCACAATGTCGTGGATATTTCACCTCAACATACAGGCTGGTAAATTTAATCATTACATATCTGTGCAAATTGAAATTCAAGCTAAAGCCATGAAATATTTTCTTTTTCTCTCATCATGTCTTATTTACATACACTTTTCTTGTGTATATTTGACCTAAATATTTCTCAAAATTCCCATCCCCTCAACATCTTTTTATACTGACTTTTTAGTGTAGAACTCTTCTTTAATGGGAGATCACAGTAAGGTAGCATACAGCCTTAACTTGCTACATCACAATGGCTTGAATGACCTATTTCAACAAATATGTAAGCTGATGTGTGGTGCATTTCTTACTCTGCATTACACAGAAATCACAATGAATTAAAATACATTAACAAAGAAGCCAATCATATCTCTTCGTGTCCCCTCGATTAATCCTCTCAGTTTCCCTAACATGTTGAAAAGCTTCAAATATCACAACTTTATCATTAGAAATATAATAGGCAGAGCTGTGTCTTCAAATGAAAATGAAAATTACTCTGAACAAACAACAAAACGTTAATATTACAAATCTAACAAGCTTGCTCATAAGCGTACTGGGTTGCTAACTACCTGGAAATGGACGAAAGGTGTAATGAAGCATGCTACAACCACATGGTGCTTATGACCAGCAACGTGATTCTCCGGGAACATGAGACCACCGACACCAACATTCTGTATGGATATGCACACAGCCCAGCATCAGGAAAAAGCGCATCTATCTTCAGTCGATTCTTGTAATAACCCCAATCCAAACTATCAATTTAGCCATGAAAGATAAACAATTATCATCAAGTTAGCTGGACCAGAAACTAATTCAGGCTGAACAGAAATCTCACCAAGAGAAATTTACAGCACAAATCTTAATGTCAAATGTATGACACATCTGTTTGTACATCAGAAGGGCGGAAGGGATAAGGATGTTATTCTATTCTTGCATCTATTTTTCATGGACTTCACAAACTTCCTAATTTGAAACATATGCATTTCAGTGGATTTTTTGTAGATATTTATGGGAATGAGGCTAGGAAAATGTGCTGCATGCACCAAATAAGGAGTCTCACCCATTCTATCAAAACCTTAATTCTCTGTGTTTAACTACCATTTAAATGACCAGAAATCTCTTAACCTCTTCCTTGTACACGTTACCTCCTTCTCCTTTTGATAAGAATATCATATCAACAACCAATTACTTAGGTCCATTAGAGGCTGTTTTGTTTAACAGAAATCAGTGGCTCTAATAACTCCACAAACACATATGTTGGTAATGAAAGTCAGAATTGATTTCATCTCCAAATTTCAATTTAAGAGATGCCAACAATAATAAAACTAACAATACCCAACTGGTCGTGAATCATCTAAATCCACCGCTACAGATTGATATAACTTCCTATCTAAGCAGACCTTACCGATATCTAAGCTCAGGGATTAACTCCAATTCCCAATTTCCTGTACAACCCTCCAAATGTTGTTTGACCACATGTTATAAAATTACGTATCAAGATTTCAAATTTTTCCAACAGTGACATCTTTTGCCCAAATATGTTCAATGTTCATCTTACACAAACATTGATATACAGTCTATAACATATTTCAAATTTTCGCTTAAATAACTTTATCTTAAGTTTTCCACTCCAAACAGATAATTCTTTTGTAAGTTTTACAAGAGTTATCTGTATTTTGTGTCTTATTGATAGAAATCCCCTTATACAACGAAAAGTGAAGTCCCGTACCACCAACAGGTCACACATGTCTTAAGACCTAGGCCTTCTAGTGTGTGCCCATTGGGTACATCAAAGGTTCAATTGGAATAATGTTACATTGGCCAGCCACCCACATGGAATGTAGCCAACATGTTTGATTTCATTTTTGTAATGTTTCTATTTATAGCATATCGAGGAAAGAATTTCATAGCCACATTACAGACTCAGAAAACCACTAGTCGGTGGCATCTTACAGACTCCGAAAGCCACCAGTCACTACCACATTATAGACTCTGTAGTCACCAGTCACTGCCACATTAGACTCAGGAAACCATCAGTCACTGCCACATTACAGACTCAGGAAGTCACCAGTCAGTGCCACATTACTGACTCAGGAAATCACCAGTCAGTGCCACATTACAGACTCAGAAAACCACTAGTCGGTGGCCTCTTCCAGCCCCCGAACGCCACCAGTCACTACCCCATTATAGACTCTGTAGTCACCAGTCACGGCCACATTAGACTCAGGAAACCATCAGTCACTGCCACATTCCAGACTCAGGAAGTCACCAGTCACTGCCACATTACTGACTCAGGAAATCACCAGTCACTGCCACATTACAGACTCAGAAAGTCACCAGTCAGTGCCACATTACAGACTCAGGAAATCACCAGTCACTGCCACATTACAGACTCAGGAAATCACCAGTCACTGTCACATTACTGACTCAGGAAATCAACAGTCAGTGCCACATTACTGACTCAGAAAACCACCAGTCAATACCACATTACAGTCTCGGAAAGTCACCAGTCACTGCCACATTACAGACTCGGAAAGTCACCAGTCACTGCCACATTACTGACTCAGGAAATCACCAGTCAATGCCACATTACAGACTCAGAAAGTCACCAGTCAGTGCCACATTACAGACTCAGAAAGTCATCAGTCAGTGCCACATTACAGACTCAGGAAGTCATCAGTCACTGCCACATTACTGACTCAGGAAATCACCAGTCAGTGCCACATTACAGACTCAGAAAGTCAACAGTCACTGCCACATTGCAGACTCAGGAAATCACCAGTCACTGCCACATTACAAACTCAGAAAGTCAACAGTCAGTGCCACATTACAGACTCAGGAAATCACCAGTCAGTGCCACATTACAGACTCAGGAAATCACCAGTCACTGCCACATTACAGACTCAGGAAATCACCAGACTCAGGAAATCACCAGTCAGTGCCACATTACAGCCTCAGGAAATCACCAGTCACTGCCACATTACAGACTCAGAAAGTCAGCAGTCAGTGCCACATTACTGACTCAGGAAATCAACAGTCAGTGCCACATTACAGACTCAGGAAGTCACCAGTCAGTGCCACATTACAGACTCAGAAAACCACCAGCCAATACCAGATTAATGTCACATTACCCAATCAGAAAGGTATTGACACAATAGCTTTGTTCTTGATCTTAATGTAGTAGATCCGATAATGTGTAGTCAGTATTAATTTGACTAGGATATGACAAAACACATTTACAATGAAATCTTGATTAGCCTTTTATGCCATAAACAAGAAATGTATATCATGTTTGAACTTGGCTGTCAAGATCTAAAAGGGCACAAAAACTGACCCTATTATTTAGAAATAAAATGATCAGCAATGAAAATATCATAAAAAAAACGAATCGGTACATACCATCATCTTCCATGTTGTGTGACGACGTTATCTGTTCAGGCTTGTTTCAGTGGCTGCTCACGTAAGCAGCTCTAGTTAGCAGTACAGGGTACTTGTTGCAATCAATCAATTTCCAGGCAGGTAGTTATTGGGAATACAGGCAACTCAGGTATACACCTTCAAATCAGAAGCTTGTTGTTCAGATTCTGGCAGATATACAAAACAAAAAGGTCATTAAAACAAGGATTTAATGTGTATGCTTTCATCTCAAGGTCACTGTTGCTTTGATACAAAATCATCTTTAACCCTTTGACTACTGTAGACCATAATGGACACATAAAGGCATGGTAGAGTCCATTAAAGTTACCTAGGGTTGAAAGGGTTAAACAGGATTCATCTACATTCAAAGAACTTTTCTTCCATTCAATATTCTATAAAATTCAAAGCTTCACAACCTATGAAAAGATCTTCCATATTACTAGAATGTTATGTCATTAATATACTGCTGGTAGGCCCATGCCTGGTAATAAGCCCCCCACCCATTTTGCCCTAATGTCCATGCCTAGGGTGGGTGCCCAGATCTCCTTAGCTTATCACCAGTATATTTTGAAATGCAGAAAGAGTGGTTCTGATCTAATAAAACCTATCTTGAATATAAGCTTAGCTCATGTATAAATCTATTATTGTTTCCAATTTCATAATCCTGATTTGATTTGAAGGATAAATAAATAGGTCGTCACTTTTTTTAAAGTCTTTTAAAAAGATTGATTAGTATCTATAATTAGAAGTTTAACTGTTTATATGATATGAATGAGCATATCAACTCGTGCATTTAATACATATTTCCATAGTGAAATATCAAAATATCTGAAGCATGATGGTATTTATAAACTACTATAAAATATACAACATTTGATATAGCGCCCTATCTAGCTAGAATACGCCACTCTAAAGCGCTTTACAGTACATAGATATACAATTCATACAATCAATACAATAAGCACATTCATTAATCAATACAATTTTGAGGAATTTGCAGGAGCTGCCTTATCAAGCACGAACTACTAGTCCAACTTGGGTTGTTGGAGTTAAGTGGGCAGGAGAAAAAACACTTTCTCTGATTATTCCATGCATAGGATTGAACCCCAGCTGTCTGCATGAAAGGCCGGAGTGTTTACCAATCTGAATTATATATCTGATGGGTTAGAAGATGAGAAACAAACAATATTTATATAATGACCTGACTTGGTCATCTTAAATTTGGATCAACAGCTAAATCATCTCAAATTTGAATCAACAGCTAAATATCAACTAGCATACAAAGAATTTTCCTCCATTAAAAATTGGAAAATTGTTTAACATTTTGTGGCTGATATGACCTCTATCGACAATTCTCATTTGATAATTTTATCCTAATTCTCAAAAAAATCTCGTAGAGCTCTCTGGAGGTATCATCTCCGAACAAATCTTGTTTGGCTTCCTCATTAGATCACCCAACCTCAGACAAATATTAGTTTTTAATTATAAACAAGCCATTCGGGTTGACAGGTCTCGCCTGTGCCCCGCTTTGACTATCAATGTACAAATCAGAAAAACTGAATTAAATGCAAAAACTTGATGTTGATGGAGATGCTCACAAAGTCAATGGACTATGAAAGGTTGAGCCCGCATCCAGCATTTGATGCATGGGTTGAGGTGTACTACCTAAGATGCATCTATGGTCCAAGTTTGGTTGGTCTAGCACTTATACTTTCATTGACACTAACTTAAACGCAAAAACTTAATGTTGATGGAGATGCTCACAAAGTCAATGGACCATGAAAGGTAGGCAGCATCCAGCATTTGATGCATGGGTTAAGGTGTACTACCTAAGATGCATCTATGGTCCAAGTTTGGTTGGTCTAGCACTTATACTTTCATTGACACTAACTTAAACGCAAAAACTTAATGTTGATGGAGGTGCTCACAAAGTCAATGGACCATGAAAGGTAGGCAGCATCCAGCATTTGATGCATGGGTTGAGGTGTACTACCTAAGATGCATCTATGGTCCAAGTTTGGTTGGTCTAGCACTTATACTTTCATTGACACTAACTTAAACGCAAAAACTTAATGTTGATGGAGGTGCTCACAAAGTCAATGGACCATGAAAGGTAGGCAGCATCCAGCATTTGATGCATGGGTTGAGATGTACTACCTAAGATGCATCTATGGTCCAAGTTTGGTTGGTCTAGCACTTATACTTTCATTGACACTAACTTAAACGCAAAAACGTAATATTGACGCCGTCACTGGAAAAGCAACACCTAAGTCTCGCTTCCACTTTGGGGCGTCGAGACAAAAACTAATATCACGTGTCTGACAAATCTTGTGTCATACCGATACAGTGTCAACATCTCTTTCATATTACCAAATACAGTCATATTGTGGGATTTATACCTAAAACATTACATGGAACGACACAGGATCAACATTAAAATGAAAGCCACTAAGCACTAAGGAGAAAATGATAAGACTCTCCACAGATAACAGATTATTTACCAATTCCTTGTAGAGACCAAGTGTGTACAATCTGAAGTATTAAACAAATCTGATTCTAAGAAACTCACGATGAGGAATTACAAATCTGGTTCTGAGAAACTCACAATGAGGAATTACATAAAGCACAAGAAACAGATATCTTCAGTACTCTGATCAATATTCTGAAAAGATGATTGACACGTGTATTGATGAAACGAAAAGAACTCGATCACCCAGTATCTAGTATATTGATGGTATATATATATACCTATATGTATAAAACAAGAACCTTTGACATAAAACCTACGATATAATCAATATTATCAAGTCACCATTACTTCAATCAATAACTTCTACTTCAAACAGAAACATAAAGAAACACATTCACATAAAAGATATTCATTGCCACCCGCAAATCTTTATCTTTTCTACATTAAATTTACAATAAATTAAAATACAGTCGCAAAAGAAGTGCCAGAGTTGATAATGATTTACAGGAACAAAAGTGACAAATAAATAATACTACTTCTAATTTTTGGAAATACTGAAATATTAGACTGATATTTTTGAATTCTGTATTTTTATCATCAATTTCCTTTTGGTTTTCGCTGCTATTGAGGAGAGTTTGACACGTTCTTGAGAAATTGACATGTCAATGACACAAGACTTAACAGAACAAAAATGTCCACATTATGATAAATTGCTTCAAGAAGTTGTTGATAATACCCATTAGCCCGAGGCTACAGAATTGGAAACACACATTGTATACCCTATAGTTACAGCCAAGGACGGGAACCGTTTCTCATTCTCTACAACTCTAAGCTTTTGTATTCCTTTTTCTAGGCATCTTTGTTCCTTTTATTTTTGCAGTGCATGATTCAAAATAGATGGTGCATGACCCGTTAAATATCACAAACCACTGGTGTTGTTCATGGTGTTGTTGATGGTGCTGGTGACAAGCTTATGTCTAAAGGTTAAAACATAATTATTAAGAGTAGCAAATAGTACCTGTATAATGAACACATACTCTTTATACAGAATTACATAAGATTATTATTTTATTTTATATGCAAATAGTTCTTGCTCATTAAAAAGCTGTTTTAAACTTGTAGAATTCATTCTGCATTAGGAGTTTACTGCCGTATATTTGATAAGTAACAACACTGGATAACACATAGCTTTATAGTTTTAGTTCACAGCGAAATGACTTACTTATGTTATCAGTTCTAAACGTGCAATCAACTGGATGTTATGTTCACCTTATCACAGTCATAAATTAACATAAATCTTCTTAAATGAGGAGAATGTTCTTTACTAATTGTATGAAAGTGTCATTATTGCTACACATATTTCCTCACCAATAGCAGCAGTATGTTCCCAGTATTTTGTTATTTAGAACTTAGGTGAAAATAAAAAGATTTCCAAACAAGCAAATTCGTGGAATTTATATCCCCTGCTTGAAGCATATTGTAGGTAAACATTATTGAGGTAATTAGGTTTAAACAAGTGAGTATCATGCTGTTGAGACATAATGTATAGCTTGAAACTTGAAGAAAGAAAAATAGCCCTATACTTTTTATTGAGCATGTAGATATTACGGTGTAAATTAATCTTATAATCCATCAGAATTTACTAACCTCATTAATTATCCATAAATATGCACAAATCACATCGGTTGGTCAACTTAGTATGAGTCGGTTGTGCATACGGAATTTGGTTGAAATATCTGCACAATATCTACAGCAATAATCACACGAAAACCAAAGAGTGCCCAAGATGGGTGGAAAGACAGAGGAACACAAACATTGTTATCAAGTTTGAAGACAATTGGATAATATTTGCAGGCAGATAATGACGGTTTTCGTCCGCTGAAAGTGGTCATCAAAGTTGGCCGAGCCCTTAAGGCATTAAACCCCGTTACCAAGTTTGAAGAAAATTGGTTAACATTTGTTGCAGTTATTGCACAGAAACAGCAGATAATGACTTTTTTCGTTATTCAAGGGGCCATAACCCGCCAAATAAAGTCTGCTGAAAGTGATCATCGAACTTGGCCGAGCCCTTAACCCTTTGCCACATGCAAGCGCCTCTGGACGCCTTTACCCCTTGCCACATGTAAGCGCTTCCCGACGCCTCTACATTATCTCAATGTAAGCGCTTCTCGACGCCGCTACGTTATCTCAATGTAAGCGCCTCTCGACGCCATGCCGTTTCGGTAAACTTAGACATGGAAAATTCCGTGATTGAGAGCGACACCTATCTGGAAATCACCTATACTATTTTTAGAAGATATCAATGCATCGACCAATCAGATTTGTACACGTCATTCCTACGAATAGTTTTGAATAAATTAACCTTGAAACTGCGAGTCATGATTGTAGAAAAGTGTCACAACAGCGAGCCGTGATGGCGACTGTCACAACTATGTTACGGGACATTTTTGAGGAGGAGGAGGAGGATTAATAGTTTAATGGCTTCAGCCCTGATGACATTGAGTCAGACATCGATCTTAACGATGTTTTTGAATGAACTGTCAACAGAAATAAGTCCGAAAATGATTATGTAAAAGATGAACAGCGACCGGGTGTACCGCCGCCATTACGGCATTAGGTAACGACGACTCTGAATGGTCTCGAGATTTTTCACCGATCAATTTTAATGATTTTGTTAGAAAAACGGGGCTAATACTTCCAGAAAAATGTTGATGTTGATACTGCAGGTCCCGTTGATTATTTCTACCTTTTTTTTCAATAAAAATCAGTTCACCACCATAGCCCGAGACACACACTCGCTGGCGTTTGAAAAACGAAAATAGATTTGACCCAAAACGGTCGGATACAAATTCCGCCGCAATAAAAGCTTTTATATAGGCCTAAATATACACTGTATTTAAAAACTTCTTGTGAGAATTTTGGAAATTTGGTTTGTTGTTTTATTTGGAAGTGATAATATCATTGTTGAGTCATTTCATTGAATCATAATTAAAGCAAAATGAAACATTTTAAAATGTGTCTATCCTGATATACATACAGCTGATTTCATGGTTATGTGTTGATGTTTTTATTAGGAAAATAGCACTGAATTAAAATTTAAGAAATTCTGAACATAATTTTAACTTAAAATGCTTAAAACAACTATTTCACCTTCAAAATTAAGGTTAGAAAAACAAATCAAAACAAAACTTAATTTCTCAAAAACTGCCATTGAGATGGCGTATACACATTCCAGTCAGTGCAGCAGTGTTGCATTGCAACAATGTATCTTGGCACTATCAGTACAGAGTGTTCATGTGTATTGGTTTGCATGTGGCAGAGGGTTAAGGCATTTAACCCTGTTACCAAGTTTGAAGAAAATCAGTTAACATTTGTTGCAGTTATTGCACAAAAAATAATAGGATAGTTATTGAAATGAATTTCACTAGTAAACAGGATTCAATGTTATGAATTTGTCCTATTATTGTCATTTGTTTGACAACAAGTATTTGAACCTGGATCCATTGTAAAGGAAGAATACGTCCTTCATCCATGATGCATATTTTATAAAGTCTGACAATTGTGGTTGGGGAAAGTATTCTATAGATTCAATTATATAGGCTAACAGAAATAGTATAAGGACTGAGCTGTTGTTTAGTATTGTGGCATAAAAATGACTCGGATGATACCCGCCAAATAGTTACCTTGCCTATACAAAATACATTTAAATTATTCTGCAGGATGGCAGCCATGTTTTGCAGAATTGCTGGCATCACTTCTGTGGCATGTTATTTGCGTTTAATGGGCAATATTGATAACCTATAGCCAAACACTAGGCATTGTTGACAGTATTGACGACATCTCTGTGACACATAAGCCAGCCCGGTACAGCACAGCAAGGTCTGCGAACAACTAATGGGAGAAAGAGGGGCGGAAAGCTTGCTGCTAGATACCCACAATTAGCCTAACAAACCCAGTGGACTTTCTCTACCTTTGTTCAGGTGTAAACAAACCCATTCTGTTGTGTCACACGGTGGTGAGAACCTTGGCACAATAGTCTTGTCACAATGCTGGCCAAGCTCTGTTCAACAACTGAGCAAACATTGCACAACTAGAGATATATACGGTCACACAATGTATCTAACAAAGACGTGTGCTACTGTCCAGCAAGCACGGGTTTGGTTACGGTCAGAGGCGACAGACACGCCCACCATTATCACAATAAAGCCCTCTAGCCCCAACCTGAAAGAAACAGGAAAACACTGCTACCCAATAGTAGTCCTGGCCCATACACAAGGTTTGTATCAAACGGAAGCCCCAGTGGTGACTATAATTCTCTGCTATTACAGGACTGTTTACACAGAGGAAAAATTCCCAATTCAGCCACCTATAACTGTTTGATTTCAATGAAACACTAAAAGCATATGTATGTACCTACCTATTAGGTCAGATCAATGCCCACCATTTCTACACTAATGTCAACCAATTTTATTTATTTCCCTGTATATACAGAAAATCTATCATAACTTGAAATATTTCTCTTATTTGTTCTGACTACCACTGACAGTCAGAATTCAGTACAGCAGAACTCAGAACTAGCTCGCCAGAATTTCACAAATGTTCCTCACTTTTAAGAAGTCAATTTTCAAAGATCAATTCCTGCTGTTGTTTGGCAATATTTCACAAACAGATATATGGTATGTCATTTTTCCAGTATCAAAGATCTGAATTTTCCAAAAACACCACCAATGGGAGGAAGAAATTGAAACCCGAAGAAAAAAAATTGCTCAAGATTAGTTAAGGCTAATAAAATTTCTGAAAAAATATAACGATACTGCATGACAGATGATGTTCCTGGTGTTTTTTATTTCAGTTTCTGGGGTTTAAATTAAACCACAAATCAGTATCGTGACTCCATAAACAATTGAATGAGACATTTGTAAATCTATTTAATGTAAAAGTGACCTGAGTATGATCCCTAGAAACTACAGAACAACATGCAATGAATGGTCAATTGCCAATTTGTATTAAAACCATTTTTTTAAACAGCTGTATGTTTCGGATTCAAGCACTTGATTAATTTATGTCCAGAATATGTCACAATCATCTCTATCTGGTCATACATGTAGAATATTATTGTAGCCAAATAAGAAGTTAGTCTTCTATGTGTATTTGTATGAAGGCAGCAATTTACATGAAAAGCAACAACAACAAAAGGAAGCTCCCTACAAGGAATACCAACTGTCACATTTGTAATGAACTACTGATACAGTTACTGCGACAAGTTTTATCATGTTATCAGGATTTTTTGCCACGTGTAGACAGATGATCAGAGGGCTGCTGATGTATGGCGCCACACGAGTTGTGATGCCACACCCTTTTGGAGCTCGCCTTGCATAATTCTACTAGTCCTAGTGAGTTCAGGTACGTAACAGACATGTCAAACACCTACCTGACCTACTAATTACATTTTGTCTAAATAAAACAAGTTAGCACCTGTATTGAATTCACCTTACCTGGCTCAGGTGTGAAAGTATTGATCCGGTGGTATTTGTCAAAGCTCTGGATGCAACACTACAGGAGGACCGGAAGCTAGAATGGAAAACAAAAAACATGTATTATTTCTATTCAGAAAGCTATGAAATATTCACCAAGTATAACATTAATATATATGATAACGGCATCAGTAATACACACACCTGTACTTTAAAATCTTGCTTGCCATATGTTCCCAGTACTTATACTGAAGACATAACAACACATCTGGAATCCATTCTGTACAGTTTTTAATGACTGATAATTAAGTACACTAGTACTATCTAAAGAATATCCTCAGGAGATTAGTTTTATACATGTATATATATCATTCAAGATATATATCAATAAATGGGCAGAGAAGACAACACAAACCTTATTTACAATCCCCAACCTTTTTATCGCAGAGAACTTTGAAAGTACAAGCCATTCTGAAGTATTTACCAACAAAAACTTATTAACCCTTTTACCCCTATGTAACTTTAGTAGACTCTACCATGCATTGATCTGGATGAGAACATATCGGTCTACAGTGGTGAAAGGGTTAAGAATACAATTGCAAACTATTTTATTTATATCAAGGAAAAACTTGAAACACCATTTACACCACTGGATGTGCCATACACTATGAAAGTTACATTTAACCAAGTTAACCCTTTCCCCCCTAAGTACCTTTAGTAGACTCTCCTATGTATTGATATGGATGAGTCTATTATGGTCTAAAGTAGTGGTGAAAGGGTTAAGGCTGATTTCTTAGTTTTAACACTAGTTACACTAAGTTGACATCTGCCTTCTTCATTGACAATTAAAATTATATTGTTAAGATCAGAAGAAAGAAAGATTTACTCTATATTTATTTTTCTTAAAAATTACTTTTTTCCAAATAAAAAAACACCTTTGTTTACAGGTTTATAAAAATCAGTTTCTACCTGTACAGAAATACATGACATATGACTATCATGAAATCCGATAATCAATTTCATGTTTTATTTCCTTCTCTTTCCTTGAATACATACCACTATACCCAGTTAACAGAAATCAATTCTCATTTAAATATGGCTTTTTCCCCATCAACGAACATTGTACCATCATCTGTTTTTGCATAAGAAAGACTCTTTTTATGCTATAGTTATTTTTCAACGATGAATGGTTCTGTCCCTGAAGACATTTGGTCTTTACAGCGATGATGTGTGATGGAGTACACACAAAAGGCCCTGGATACGAGGATCAGCCAGGAGCTTGTCTGATCAGGACCAAAAACAAATCAATTTGCCATCTTGTTAGATATTGATCCTTACTTCTTTAAGGCAAACAATTTTTTCAATATGATCTTCTACCATGGACACATTCTTACCAACGACATGTTCTACCACGGACACACATTCTTACCAACGACATGTTCAACCGTCTTAAACTATCTTAAAGGCACACATTCTCAATAATAACACATCTTGCATGTTCAACAAGCTTAATACTCTAATAAAATGCTCAGGCGTTTATCTGTCATATTAACGAACATTCTCATCAAATATGTTCAACCACCTGAACCTATTCACCCCTGAAGTTTCATAATGAACTATTCCAACCTTTGAATTGGCAGAGTTTAAATGTGTCTTCAGGGGTGAGTGAGTTAAAGGTATGCAATCTCCACATGTTCAACAATCTTAATGAAACTCGGTCTTGATTAACAATAAATTCAGCTGTTTATTTTTTTGTTTTTAAGACGTGATAAAACAAACATAAGACTTCAGTGGCTTCACCAACATAATTGGTGGAGGATCAACATTAATCATATATAATCTTCTCTAATCTCTTGTTTCGGTCTTTTTCTTATACCAAGAAAATATCATCGATCCCAAAACATTTTAACCAAGTTTTAATCATTTTAATGAACAAGTTAATTGCAATAAGCTCCGTGAGATTTGGTCTCCAGTTACCTAAATATTGATTTATAGTTTCAGTTTTAACATCAATCATTCAATGTTGGAACTCTAGAGATCTGCCAAGCCCTTCAGCAACATCCTTGAACAAATACTGAAGGTTATATGAATGAATTCTCCTACTTGCACCAAAACTTGACCCAATATCAAGACAACAACAAAAGCCTGCTGTATGTATATGGTACTCGAGCACCTTAAATGTCAAAGTTAAGGTTTGAACAAACACCGAAACTTTGACATGCAAAAATTAACCAATAATGAATGCAAGTTATAGCAATTTTGCTACAAGATGTTTTCTGTTTTTAATGTAAAAAAAAAAAAAGCAGTTTTAATATAGGATTTATTGCCTTAAAATTCTGTTTGCTTGCTTTTCCTGTGCTGCCTTTCCACAAGGCTGCATCTCAGGCCTACCTGGCACGTGCGTACATATATACGTAGCCCTTTGTGAGAGGACTAGCTGGGTTTCATTGAACCCCAAACTCTCATGAATTATGCAAGAAACTTCACACAGGTATAGCACCACCTTAACACTGGGATCCCGAGACAAAAGGTGCTTCCATTCCCACACCTTTTGTCCTAACATGGAATGTAAATTTACACAAATTGATCTGCAGTCATTTTATCGGAAATATTATTGACTATAGATTAAGCATTCATCATGGAGAATAACACCATAGCGGTGCTACATTGATTCCTGCGATACATTGTTCTCTCCACAAAACTCTGTCAGTCAAGCCAACATGGCCACATGCAGACCTTGGTGACGGACGATGTACAGTTCCTAGTGTGGTTCATCGCCAATGCAACTCCTAGATTTCCTTAAAAGGCATGAATACTCCACTCTTTTACACTCTCCTCATTATACATGTACATTTATGTATGTTGGACAATAAAGAGGGTTCAACAGTGTTCCTGCCAGCCCATTTTAGCAGAGTGGTAAATGTTCCTAGATGTATTCTTTAATGCTGCTATCCAAAATATTTCTCCTTTTTATCTACATAGAAAAATTGATTTTATGTGTTACTTTAAGATGCTAATTCAATAGATAAAGAATTGAGCGACTAAATCAAGATTTTTCTTTATTATCTTTTTCAGACAATCCTTTAGCCGCTATGTCAGAACATGATAATAGACATTACATAATTTCTAAAACTCACTTTGGTGCAATTTGAAAAAAATGTAAAACGTCGTGACATTTTAAATGGTTGCTATGCTGTTCTCACTACCAGATTTACTAGTCAGACTCTGGTTTTTATTCAAATGAGATGAACATGTATTAAACTGTCATGGGCAAGTGATTTTGTGAAACATTCAATATCAAACACAGTAGTTTGCCAGACATACTGATACTGGACAATTTTAAGTATTTTCCAGTACACAACTATATCAATGCCAGTTCCATTCCTTCACTAAAACACCTATCACTAAACTAACATGCTGTTCATTTTCGTTTTGATGATTCTTTTCCATGACGCTTTTAAATTTTCATTTTTTCCAACAACCAGAGCCGAGTTACCCATGTTATGTTTTGGACATCTGTTACCAAAAACAATGAGTCTTGTGCAGATTCTGTGTCTGCCGATCTCTGTACTATATATATAGTCAGCTAGTTATCAACAACGACCCGGTATCAGGGTGGATCATTCATGGTATCGGGGTGGATCATTCATGGTATCAGGGTGGATCATTCATAACTGATATTAGCCTGACCCATATAGCTGTAAGGGCTGACTTTTTATTGCATTGTATCAGTGTGTACCCTGTGTAGGCCATCTACACGTAGGCTGACCTTTCCCCACTCAGGTCAGTTCCCCGATGACCAACTTTGATGTCTCTATTTGTAATCAATTATTTACCCTACCTCTAAATACATCATGATCAGGTGCTACCTAGGCAGATGTCCAGCCTAAGTGTATTTCCTGTTCACTAATACATTTAATTTACACTCGGCAAATATACCAACATTAAGTCATTAAACCTAGAAAAATTCATACCTGTTTGGTTCTTGTACAGGTGAACAATGCAAATTTATACCTGTACAGTGCTACAGGAAAATTGTGCAATGTATGGTTCTTTAATATCTATATATCAAATTGGGCTTGTTGGGGCTTAACTTTTATCTTAAATACTATTCATATTCCTAAACGACTCCGATCATTTTTCTTTCCAATATTGTTTCTACAATATATGCACTTTGATTATGTTCTGATCATGGCGTTATTGTTTTAAATTGGCCAATTTTGTAATCTTGTATTTCATATTCTTCTAATATTAATTAAGGGCGGACAACTGAACTACCTGGTAATCTCCAGCTTACAGGCCATAGGCCTGCATCTGTTTCCCGGTAATGTTTCCAGTATTATATAATTACCACCAGATCTACCTGTCTGTAATCCTGAACCAAATTCTGTGCTCATCATTGTTCATCACTGAGGTCCTTGATTACTGCGAGTGTATCCGATTGTCATGTTGTAATTACAGCCAGGGAAGTAAACTCGAGCTCTAGGCAAAGTCAGGTATTGTGCCTGCCACATGACAGAAACCAGCTAACAAACAGGCACTCTAATCATACTGACATATAACACCTCCATCATCATATTTCTATGATCTACTTTTATGAACAACACACCTGCAACCACAGTTTATCTGTGGTTTCCATGACAATCAGGTGTTTCAGCACGATTTAGACCTTTCTGTCCATGTCACCAAAACAAGTCTGCTGGACTTGTAGTGGTAGATCTGTTTAGTTAACATTGCTGGACTTGAAGTGGTAGATCTGTTTGGTTAACATTGCTTGACTTGTAGTGGTAGATCTGTTTAGTTAACATGGCTGGACTTGTAGTGGTAGATCTGTTTAGTTAACAAGGCTGGACTTGAAGTGGTAGATTTGTTTAGTTAACATGGCTGGACTTGTAGTGATACATTATTTAGTTAACATGGCTGGACTTGTAGTGGTTGATCTGTTTAGTTAACATTGCTGGACTTGTAGAGGTAGATCTGTTTAGTTAACATGGCTGGACTTGTAGTGAGTGTTACATCTATTTAGTTCAAATGCCTGGACTTGTAGTGGTAGATCTGTTTAGTTAACAAGTCTGGACTTGTAGTGGTAGATCTGTT